AGATGCAGCGAGGCCCGACGCTGAGTCATTAAGAAAATCCAGAGCGAATTAATTAGCACGTAGTCTAACTACGTAATATCACGTTAGTTGAGTACAAGTTTGAGGCTAATGTTATATTAATACTACTTCCCACTAATTTGCACGAGGTCTCCGAATGGGGTCACACTAAGTTCAAATTGTCTATTTAATTTCGCCCCCTGTGTCTACTGCTAGTTTTAGCGAGTCTTATAATATGCAAACTGATTATTTTCAACACATTAGTTAAGGGTATTTAAAACTGGTTTCTCTAATTATTCTTAACATCTGTCAACTTAAACTTTTAAGAAACTGACTGAATGTAGTGATGTACTCATATATTTTTACGAAAATTTGAGATTTCATGATGGCTACTAATTTTAGTAAAGCAGATAAGCAGGGTTTTTATTGTGTATTATACGGTAACAGGTTGAAGCAATTCACCCTAATTGAACTTGATGTTTAAGTGCTAAATATTTATACATTACGAGTTCTTTGTGCCGTAATGTATTATCTCGTCCCTTTTGTTATGTGACATTAAGAATTTCTATATGGTGCTCGAGTTCTTTCTCCATAACGAGATGCCTGTGGGGCAAGTTATTGTTATCCAACTTACCCCTCCCCTCCCCGACTTCATGTATAATAAATATGACACAGAGGGGACACATCCACAGCCATTAGACATGTTTTTGATTGAAGCACGTTTTGAGGATCGATTGAGCTAACACAAGGAAACAAGAATAATAATTTCTCACATAATATTTATTCCCAATCTTTGGACCCTATATGCGTTTAAAACTAATCGTAACATAAATACAACACTGCCACAAGTTATCGAAAGTAAGAATTTTGTAGCTATACCCGCAGAAGTCTACGTCGTCTATGTAAAACCGGTTCGTTAGAATTGATCTTATTAATTACATTAACAGAATCAGTATTACAAGAGGACGCATTAAAGCAACTCTACAAAGCAAAGTCAAAGCTCAACCGTCAATTATCCTAATCATTTTTATCCTAAGCTAGACACATTAATATCTAGTATCCATATTACAAAATTGACAAAGTAACAAGTCCAATAAATAACAGATCTCATATAATATTGTGTCGCCTTTCAGATGAAATGCGAAGTAGTACGCTGACTTTAGTGGAGACTGATCGATGCCTATTTCGTAGGGATGTCGGAATAAAAACTTCGATCGAGGATGAGCTCAATTTATTTGAATTAACAATGACGTCTCCAATGCCACAATAGTCAATGAAGTAAGAAAAGAAAATCAATGAACATCTATAAAAGTCATAATAATTATACAATTAAGCTAAATTTATCACTATTTTTACAATGTCATTATGTTTTCTCTTAAACCACAATAACACTTTACCATCGCTCTAAAAGCTTTAAATAATCCAAGTCACACAAATCTAACAATTAACTACTAATTTATATATTTTGTATGGTTTAATTTGCTCGATATACAAATAAGTCTCCAGCGACGCGTCGTCTCGTCGCCGATAAGAAATCAAGTTCATTAATACTGAATACGAAAGCGAACGTTTAAAATTATTTTAGTAAGCCATTGTAGCCTATAAATAATTAAAAATAACATTACGACTATTAGCGATAAGTCGAAATCAAAAGTTGCGCGACACTACTCGGGTACTATGCGTCGACCATATTGGGAGGACATCTAATTCGCAATATATTCTGTCGGCGTGCGAAAACAACACTTAGTATGTATTTGATACTCCGAACGATTATTTTCCTTTATGCTATTCATATGTATTTCTTATATTAGTTAGCTAACTTTTAAGGGGCACAGATTTGATATGTTTCCGATGCACGGCGTTTGTGTGTTACCGCGTCACTTAACCTAACTTGCAAGGCGATACACCCCCACTACCCTATCACATACGGCGAAATGTCACGCGGATCAGTCGACACGTTGTACTCGACGTCGTATACGAGGATCGATTATTTATCGCGTCGCATCCACCCGATTGTTCCCGAGCTAATTTGATCATCGCTAAATAATTCCGTTCGTACAAGCCGAAATGTTCAAGGTGAAATTGCTGCCAAGCGAGAACTGATAACGTAAAATCGATACTGTGTTAGCGTGACATATAGCCGATTGCATTAAGAGAAGTAGACAAGGATACAGAATAAACGTCTCTATGAAACCGTTTGTTTATTTCTAATTACATTAATATTACGATGATATGTATCGAGTAGTCCCGCAATAGGTGACGTAGCTTTGTCCGCAGCCACTGGACGTCTCTTACGCTATCTAGTGTGTTGGACGGAATCTTGGCGGCGTGGCGACCCCTAGCAACGCTACTTGAACACATATACAGGGATATTACGAATACATCTAAAATCATTACCAAACGGAGAGTGGATTCGTTTAAGGGTCTTTCGAAATAACACAGAGATGGATAGATACACTGAGTTACTGTCTTCATCGAGTACAGGTGTATAAAATGTTTCGTTGTATTATCTCTTGCGTAGAGGTCACTGCGCGCCGGAGGTATGGGAGATCTACTAGACTATTACACAATCACTTACATACGAATTAGCATAATATTAAATCGAATTAAATAAGTAAACATTGACTTAGGTATAAGAAGTGACAGCGATTTTAAGATTCGAAAGGAGTTTTGGACAAGCGCGTCTGGGCTCAGTGTTGGGTTTATGTAAGGGAAAAGGTGTTAAATGAGAACCTGAAAAGGTTTTCAGTTCAGCAAGACTCAGCCCAGAACACTTGATCATTAGTACGATTGATATTTCGTGCCAGTACGCGCGCCTACTAGTAATGTTTGGTACGGTCCGAGGTTAGTATTAAAATTATGTAAATCGAATATCTTTGGTGTAAACGCCATTACGCTCGGTATGTCTCACATATTTATCGATCACTATAAACAACGTATAAAATTTAGCTAAGTTTGTTAAAAAATTGACGATATTTCTATCATATATTGACTAAGATATTTTTCATAAGAGTTCACTTACGGAATTTCGACACGACTCGTGCGCAGTTCGGATAGTCGCGTCCTATCAATTTTGTCAAATTTTCGAAACCTTATATTTATTAGCCTATGCGGGGATATTTTTTTTTTCGTTTTTTTCATATAATTTTTACATATTACAGCAGAATACGTTTCTAGGCAACTATAATTTACACATTAATGTTTTCATTTTTGGTTTATTGCTATGTCGCAACGAAATGTACTTAACATGTTACCGCATTAATGCTTAAATAGGTAACTAAGTCCATTTTGCCTGCGATAGTTAACTAGCTAAAAATAAAAATATATTAATTTCCATTTCAATTAACTCTAACACTCAAATTTTATTACACCGTTTATCGAATAACGTTATTAAACATTAATGTAACTATACTGTTCTACAATAAATACCCTTACCTAATTTATATGGTATTCACCTAGAGGTTATACAGTAATGTAGGTATCTGCTATTTTTTAATAAGATTATAACCAAGAAGCTCGTCGAAGCATGCAAGTAGATATTTCACTAATCAGCATGGCGAGTCGCCAGTTAATTATAACTAATTTTATTTAACATTATGATTACATTATTATATTCATTTAATCTTATAAGGCCAAGGCTAAATTCTCGCAACACTGAACTGATCTCGACACCACCGCATCGTACATGATCGCTAGAAGACAAATAGACTACGATAATTATAGAGAAAATTGGTTTCAAAACGCAATTTTTGGAATAGATTTCGCAAGGCACAAGACAAGTACACAAAATAAGAAAGTACATAGTTTGAGAGCTAGTGAAATTCGTAAAGTGTCGAAGAATACCTTGTGACATCTTGAGTACTAAGTCATGTTTTTCAAAAATACCATTGACAACTAAAATGAAGTGTAAGAATGAAAGTTCATTTCACTAGTTCTCAAACTATTGAATGAAGTATACGGTGGTAGTGGTCCCGGTATTGGGATTCGATATCGAGTGTTCAGTAACGTATTGCACTTCACAGTAAGCGGCACCAAGGGGCGTCACTAGTTTATTACCTTTAATTTATTGCATTTATCCTTTACACTTAGACAGGATCGTAAGACCAACACTAAAGTGCCAGCGCTTTAACGAGTGTTCAAATATAAAAATCACTAAGAAAGCATTTGGTAAATATAATTTGAAATAGTCATGAAATTTATTTAAATATACTAATATTATCGAGACTAAACAAAAATATCGTTATATATTACAATACAACTTTTATTAAAAATCATTTAACTTGAAATATTTATTTAACAAAACGTAATCTTTCTATGAAGGGCACCTTTGGTTTTTAGCTTATTCGAATGAGATATATCCTAAATGTTTAATTTCTGGTATTTAGCAGATTTAGAATAGCAGGAAATCGCCGAAGTCCAGTAGACAATCACAAGACTACAAGAAATTTTGCTAGTCTAATCCAGCGTCACGTTACAATTATAACAAATATTCTCAGTTGAATATGTCGGCCTTGAAACGAATGTACAAATATTTCATAAAATAAGTTAATTGTAAATAATTCTAATAAGTATTACAAAAAACATTAACATATTCCATCAAAAAAGAATTAATTTTATATATTAAAGTATTTGATTGCGAAAGGTAAACAATAAAAGTGGAATGTTAATCTTAAAAATAAATTATTTACGCTAATTTTGGTATCAACATAATACACCACACCTTTGACGTTGCTCCTACGAAAATGATATAAAATAGAAGATGCGAGCTCTTAAGCTAACTTAACATTTCAACGTCAAAGCTCAAAGTTGAAAACAAATATAAAAAAATCTCGTTCGTTTTAACTTTAATATGCTAAGACGTTTACGGTAAACAATAAGGATGAATGTTGTGGGTTGTGCGAGCTCCACCTTCGACTGCTGAAATATTTGGGATATGGTTCAGATGATAAATATTGCGCGTCCCTCAGTTAGCTGGTTGTCAAGTGCCGAGAGCCACGAACGAACTAATGCTGTTCGCTCTCTTCTCCCCCTTTGACTCCCTGCTGATCAGACAATGCATTAGTCACACTAAACTTAAGTTTAACTCCTTAATTATGTTACTTAAGCGATTTATCTATGTGCACGGTGCGAGTGGTTTTCAATGCTCATTAAATTTATCAACATCGAATTACAATCAAAGCAAATTTGGACTATGAATTTTAAAGTGCCATGCACGGTTCAGAAAATTTACTCGTTAGTAGTCTGTGCGCTTATTTTCTCAATCAGTAGACACATGGCGCTTAAAAGGAACAAAAGATATGGTGTCCATCCATAAATTATGCAACACGTTTACTAAAAGAAGTTACGAAGGAGAGGGTCGACGAAATGTAACTGCGTGACATCAGTTTTCGTTAATATAACTATTATAAAAGGGACCGGAGAAGATTGAGAGTTACATAAATCTGCTCAGGTGTAAAGGGGGGGGGGGTAAAAACTCGTGTGGCGTAATTTAAAGCTGGTCCCTAACTAAAAAAGCGAATTGTGCGCGTGCATACTTCATGTGCGAGTATCCAGCCGTTGTGTGCCAACTTATGCCTGGCGTATTCGACATGGATGGGCCCCTCTGAGCTGAGAAGCAGAGCGCCCTGAAGACGAGCCATGGCCGCTGATGCGTCGCTCGCGCTTACGAAGTCGACAAAGGCCACGGGCCCCGACCCACCGCTACCGGTCAGCAGCCGCAAACGCGAGAAACCCGGACAGCTGTTATCATTACATATGTGCCCACACTCGTATCCCCTCTTGCCTCATGTGTATATTGAGTCAAGTATTTGAGGTTCTTGGAAAATTGGCCTTGTATGCAAAATAATTTGTAAAAGATACGCAACGTAACGCAATAAAAATTTTAATATGTACCGGCCGTCGGTCGAGGGTGCAATGCAGTCAGTATAGTCGTGAAATTCATAATTGGTGCTGTAACGCTATATGTGATATTGTGTAGATATAATGTCGATGTCATGCTAGAGGTGACACGGGTGCAGGCTGTATTTCTCGCAAACTACGAATGCTCTTCGAGTTTGCGTGAAATAAAAGATCGAGTCCAGTGTTGAATACATGGTGCAACATGCACGGTGAGACACATATTTAATAATTATTAATAATTCATTTTCACGTTCGTTGCAGAATAATTATGTAACTATGTAGTCATGCAAATATTTAATGATAGGTACCAACTGGATTTTATATGGAATATAGTTCTGTGTCTCGTGAAAATGTAACAAATGCATTTTAACTTTCAATATGAACACAAGTATACTAATTACATTGAAATTATAAATAAAAAAAAAATTATTATTAGGTGCCCTTACTATATTTTCTTATACAGTAATTTCATTTCCAGTTGATACTATAATCGAGACTAAATCACAGAACAAACTAGACGTACCTGCTAAATATTTCTTTGAGTTCGTGTTCAGATACGAACTGTCCGAGGTTAGCCACGAAGAGCGTGGAGCAGGGAGGGTGCGGGGTGTGCGCGTGCGCAGGATGAGCGGGGGGCGGTGCGTGGGCACCGACAGCAGCTCCCGGCGAGCCAAGCGCCGGCGCAGGCAGCACGCAAGCGCCCAACGTCAACGGAGTCTGTGAGCAGATTTGGTCTTTTACACAAGTTCAATGTGACGTAAAATCAACGTAACTTACTTTATATCTTTAAAATTTATGTAGATACTATTAAAAAAAATAGCTTACACTTTTAACAAAATCGCAAATACGGGTTATTTAATTATTATTATTAAATGACTATGGTGTACAAAATTGTTTGTCATTATTTCTTGTTAATTAATTATAATGATTCTAAACTATTCTATAAATAACAATTAATATATCCATATCATAATTAGAAAATGTAGAAAATGACTATTGTTGCTTTAATAAATAAATATCTACATATCCTATTCTACATGACCGAAATAAATCGCATATACATTATAAATATAGAAAAAGCCCATTACAACAAAGGTATAAAAAAAATCCTATAAAAAGCTATTTCTTAAAAGTAAATTTTCTATTGTCTTTTTTGCTTACAAGGTAATCGTTCCTTACGTGGTGTGGCCTATCGGCGGCAGCTAGTCAGAGATAAGAACGCACGGGCGCCATCTGCGGGTGGATGGCAGGATGGACCAGCCCATGCGAGAGAGTCGGCAGCTCCCCTCCATACGCCAGTGGATGGTGCCACAGCTCAGCCCCCCCTCCCGGGAAGAATGGACTGGCTAAGTCTGCATACAAAAATACACCATCAGCGTACAATACAAACTATACGCGAGTAAAGCCTATATACATTTAAAGCTTGTTCTTCATGGAGATAAATATTCCCTTGTATTGCTTTAATACCTAGATTGTGGAAACATGTGTTTTAGAATTATAGCAGTAAAGAACCCGACAGATCAACTGAAAGGTAATAGCTTCGCGGAGCCAGGCTTTGCGTGTTACGTGGAAGCGAGTTTAGATACTTGCCCAAAAGTTGCGTTCGCTCGACAATAAATTGTTCATTACCATTCATTCTGCATACGGAGAAACAAAAACTTAAATTAAAGGAGTTTGACTAGTATATCGTGTGCATGAAATGTTAAGGATCGAGTGGCGGTGAAGGAGAGAAAGTTTTCGTTTAATCACTCTACCTATAGTAAATAATCTAATATATTGTAATTACGACCTTAACACGCACAAGTTAAGATTGAATGTAGTTCAGGGTAAACATATACTGAGGTTCAAAATACACAGCTTTTAAACTCTCTTAATATTTATAATTTTCACGTGAAAGTTACAAGATATTATAAAAATAGCTATTATGAGATCCCAAGTGCATTATCTGAAAATTGTAGTATTTAGGTAGCTTTCTATTACCCTAATAGATGTATGGCCACGAAACCGTACATCTAGTAAGTATTCATTCTTGACTTTATGCAATAAGCAGCAACGAGGCTACAACGTCATTTAGATCCTTCGAGCCAGATGAGATAGAGTGAGCATATTTGGAATATGGGTTTGATACTGCTTTACTAGTGTTGGTCGAGCGAACGCGGGCGGTGTGTGCAAACGGCGGTACTTACGTCCAGTGAGTGGGTGCATCAATGCGGGGTGTGCAGCTGGGGCGGCTGTGGCAACGGCCGGCTTCGGCTTGCTGACCTTCGTGTTGCTTTTAGCGAACTCCAGCCGAATCGTTTGCGGCATGTCGGGGTCGAACCGGACGCCCTGCTGTGAACAGCCGCGAGCGGTGCGGCGCTCCGATATAATGACGATGGTCGTTTACCGATCACCCCGAATGAACAACGTCCATGGGTGTGGCGATCGTGATCGCGTCGTACGGGACATATATAATCTCTAAGGTAAACACTGTTTCATATATTTTGTCTCGTATAGGATGATAAGTTTAATAAATGGAACTAGAGTTTTAAGTAGTATGTAAAAAGGTGAAATTCCGTTCCCCCCTTGGGGCATCGGGTGAAAACATTTCTGCGTCCATTTTACTGATCGGTTTTTTAAAAGTTATTGATTAAACAGGACAACCCTGCCCGACTGAAACGATTTATTGCTTCCTGGGATTTGAACCCACTACATGTGGCTACAGACGCGGTTGGGGTAGTATGTAGTCGTAAATTAACATTAGCTTTTATATTTTTGATTACATATTTAAAAAAAAATGAATTTGAAATAATTTATGGAGTACCGTCGATAGTAAGAAACTTTATTATGATTACTTTTATCATCCTATATTAGACAACAAATTTAGATCTCGGGAAAGCCAACTGTTTGTTCACCGGTATTTCACATTCGCGCCTGAGCTTGCGCCTGTGCCACACAGTGCACGGGATGTGACGTCAAACTTGTCAATCAGTGACATGCAGTTACTTATTTACACCGTTACTCAATTCATCGCCTGGATAAGGCTTAGTGGCTCCGACCTAATGGAGTCACGTTGGCAATTCGACAGTGCATGGATTTAGCATAAACTTACGATGCGGTTACTCGGAGACAGGAATGTTATTTCAAGTCTACAATGAGTATTACTATTGTGCGTATTGGCTGTGTTTAGGCATGTGATGAGAAGAGGTTTAGTAACACCGTGCTATCGTTTTAGTATATACAAATAGCTTATCTCAACTATCTCGGTACAGAGATATTGTTTCGTGAACTTTCGTTTGTGTACAAGCGAACTGCTCTTTAGGCACTTTGGATAACTGTGATAAGTTAGGTACGTCCGACGAGTTTATTTTTAACCACATTTAATTTTAGTTACTTATTTAAACTTATTTATGAGAATATGTACGTGTATATGCTAAATTGAGAGAAACTCGGAACTAACCTGAAGATCTTGCTTGGCTGCTTCTGCCCCCGCGCGAGTATGGAACGTCACGAAACCAACAGGCTGGGGAGAAATTATTAAAGTTATGAAGGAGTTAAAGAAATAATTAGTTAATAGTACTACAGATGTAGTGCAAAAAAAAAAAACAATTTCAGATTGATAAAATTTAACAACACGGGCAGTACTTAAAACAAAATTCTGAGCGTTTCACGCTGTTCCTCTGAACATTGCTGCTGGACCGCTATAGATGATGGTTAAAGACCTGCCCATGCCGTTAAACGTTTAAAATCTACAATCGATTATTTAGTTATATAATGCCACCAAGTGCAATAGCATAAGAAATATATTAAAGTTTATAATAAATTATTATTTAACTTACCGACGCTGTCTTGCCATTTTTGCTGGTAACTTTTAACAGCGAGCCTTCGTAACCCTACAAACAAAGTGAATAGTAAATACGCTATTGTCATTTTGAAAATAGGCAATGATTTAGCGGTATTTGGTTCATGAAATACATTAGACCGATCAAAAACGGTACCTTCCCGTGCCAGGCATTTACGAACACGCGATATTAGAACCCCCGTTGAAGTTGCTGAACGGCTACGGCGCTATCCGTGCCAGCCGAGAACCGAGTAATCCCCCTTATCGATAGATAGAATCGATTCAATCCGAATATTATGTATCGGAGCATGACATTTGATATTTACGATGCCGTAATCCAAGACGAGCCCTACGAACTCGCGTGACGCGACGGCTCTCAAAATATTTCCTCAATCGTGAAATATGTCGCCGAATATAAATAAAGTTTGGGTTTCACTACGGGAAATTGTATTAGGACTGTATCGTGTTGTATTTCAGTATTTGCAATAACATACGACATTTGTAGGAGATAATAGATTGTGTACTAGATAGTTTTAATATACAAATGAAAACATTAATATATTATGTACCTATATGATTAGGAATAGAATACATACTGTCTGTAGTGTACGCGAGTAGTACACATTTAAATAAAACACATAAACGGTTTAAAATGGGACCAGCAGCCGTGGTCACCATGCATCCGGAACGTCGGGCCATAGTTGAAAATAATTAGTAAACAAGTATTACTAATATATTTATCGTTTTAAACCGTTAAAGTGTTTTATTTAAATGCAATAGGTTATCATGCAAGTAATACATAAATAATCTGAATAAAATCCCAGCTTAAACATTTATCTTCTGCAAATACGAGTATAGGTATATCGTGATTGACTCAACTTCATCCTTTGAGGTAAGTTTGCGTCAAAACTTACTTCATATGCCCGAAACAGTAGATAGAGTTCCCGAGGCTTTGCGTCCATGGGTAGGCCGCTCACGAACAATGTCCGCACCTGCAACAAGCCATTTATCTTTCACTTTCCTTGGAGATTACAAAAGTTTTTAAACGATACAATTAATTAATTTTAATAGTCCTTAATTTTTGGATCTTCGTCGCGGAAAAAACAAAATAAATAGCATCAGTGAGTTTGCATACAGAGGTCTACACAGAAATCTATTTTCCAAAAAAAAATCATAAATTAAAATATGGTCACTAAAGTCAAAATTATACGCTATCTACAACATTGTCTTGATAGAAATCGTTCGTACTTCCACGAGTGTGATGCTTTCCTAGATTTCCATTCTTTCGCTCAGTAAACGTTTCGGCGCATTAATTCGGCGGGTCCATTTAATGAAATAAAACAGTGCTCGTAATGGCGACGCGATTTGGCGCGTGCGGGAAATGGAGATTAATTGCTGGTAACACCGGCCGCGACTGCCGGGCTAGCGGCCATCTTGTTAACCTTATTTATATCTCTCGATTTTTCTTTTTTAATCTTTGAACTTTAAATGTTAACTTAATGTCTGTCTTAATGGCGAACCACAAATTAAATAATCATATGTCCGATTTTTAATAAAATCGAAATAAAAAAAAATAAGCAAGCATTTCAATGGAAAGAAACAAAATTTATCTTTGAAAAGGCGTTTTTAAACATACTTTGCTGAGGTTATGGCACTCAAAGTGAAGGGTAGCTCTCATATATATTTTATAGCTTCCGTGTCCGGTCAGCACCAGAATGTTGGACCTTTATGTCGGCTATTTTCCACTCGGGTGAACGGCCATCCCCGTATCAAGAATATGTAATATTTTGCTTCGCCAATTTTTAATATCACCTCTTACTATCTTTCCGAGGTTGCCATGATTTTTAATTATTCTAAAATTTTATTCTGCTTTACACCTTACGTATTAAAAAAATAAACATAATTCAAAACTGGAAAAACTTTTATCGATTCTGTTAGAAAATAATATAGGTAAAATTGTTTTAAGCACAAGTTACTCTTTTATAAACTTACAAACCATTATTCCATTAAGAGTTCCAGGTGAAACGACCTATGGTATGAGTACACAGAGAACAAAATTACGTCAAACATCTATGTATGTTTCAAGTATAAATCACAGACAGGCACCGGTGGCCGGTCAGTTTGAAAATGCGCCCTCTACGTCGACCGTTTTACACTCGGCTGCGCTTGGATCCCCCTCACTATTGAGTTATGTTTCATACTCGTAGAGAAAAGAGGGAAATTCCTAGAACCAACATTGGAGCTTTCTCTTAGAACTTATTATCATGTTGCGCAATGTGTCTGGCTCATGAAATCAAACAATTTAACTGAATAATGTACACACGTCCAACTTTGTCCGTCCACAATTATTCTCTTGTTTGAATGGTATTAAATCTTCTGTGATATCATGGTGGAGAACTTCGTTTCATAACTGTCGTGCAGATGTTTTTAATGACCCAATAATTATCTAGCACATTTGGAAATAAAATAGAATTCAAATTAAATATAAGTTTTTACCGTTACCGTTCAAAAAGAAAAAAAAACAATTTTATTTTATATTTGAAAAATGATACAGGCAGTACTCAAACCAGATTATGGTAATTCTATTGGTGGACCATGCAACTTAACACGGGGAGTGTTAATAATACAATAAAAGTACTTTTGACAATAATTCGCTTAAAGTTATTCAAATTTTACAGTGAAGTAAACCTGAATGGTATCTTTTGATAAGTATTAAGAATTGAGATTATATCTAAATTAGACATTAAGCCCAAATATAAAAGTCTGTGTTGTCATATCTTACAAAAACATTGCCAGCGTTCATGTTTGAAAATTCAATTAAAAATATTTTTCTAAAACTGAATATTTATTAAGCTTCATGTTTTCATTTTATTGAATAAACATTTTCTATTTTTATTATCTGACGACATTCAATAACGCGTTGAAAATAGGTAAATAAATAAAAAAGGAATACAGGTGCACACACGATCGATCGCCCTGCAACGAACGAGTGAAGCGGAAAGGCCCGGGGCGTTGCACATCGAATTTATCATACGTCTGTGTTTACAGTTCTTTTGGAGTGCAAATGTTATATGCTTAACAGCTACAGTAATCGCTCACCTAATTGATTATGTAATTTAATTTAAATTAGGTAAAAAGAACCATTATTACAGTAGCCATGTTTTTAGTTCAATGAATCAGAATAACTGAGGAAACCTTAAGTTTTCCAATAGTTCAGCTATTGGAACGGTTCTTCGCTTAATCGATGAACGTTCAAGATCTCCTGATTAGGTCGTCCACTCGTGACGGCGAAACGTCGAAAATAATTTCTTAATTATGACGGCCGAACAGCACGAAAATTCAAGCTTTGCAACATGGCCGCGAATTTTTGATACAATGAAGTATTGAGGTATTATTGTATCATTGTGACTTCTTTCCAGATTTATTTAAATATTGGACTCTATTCGGGTTTATTAAATGATATCGAAATACCGTCCAGGTTTAATTTTGCGTTAGGCTTCGGTCTGATCGAATATTGAAAAAATCATGTATAGGACTGGGATATGTCACCATCCATCAAGTGCCTGCCCTGCTCTGTCATAAAAAATAGTATATAAAACAGTGATAATAACCAATGAATTACAGCCAATCGGGTTCAATTAACATTTCGGAATACAAAATGACCTCATTCGATTGGAAAATACAAATAATTGAAAACAGCACTCGCGACAAAGTTAATCAAATTGAACCGGCGTCCGTCGTGAGTCGTGACCCTATTGTCGTTCGTATATCATTTCCACGTGCAAAAGGACGCCGATGAAAGCTTTAGTATTCATAAAGAAACAAAGAGAATTTCACGTGAATAACCAATAATAAGAACTGGTTATTTATGGAATAGAATAGGATCAAATGAAATAATGTTGTTATAAAAATACTATAAACTTGAGTCTGTTAGACTCAAGTTATAATCATAATAATACTCGACACAAAGTTTATATAAAAATGAAACGGAATTTATTTACAAACTGAAGTACATAGTTTTATGTCCTTATTTTTTTTGGGTTTAATAAAGAACAAGAAGTTAAAGTTAAACTTGCAACTTGCTATAACATAATACAGTAATTTAAACATATGTCGTATAAGTAATGATAACTATACATTTTATTGAGACATTGAACTCACAATTAACAATTAAACAATATGTTAATTGTTCATATCAACAAATTATAGTTTGCAGATGTCCGTAAAACATTAAAATTGTAAAACGAACACATGTTATTTTACGATAAAAATATATAATAACAATAATGAGGCAGATGTAAGTTTTACAACGATAATTCTTCTCGATTATGTGAAAAATAATAATATCGCTATTAGCTGATGTGTTCTACAGATATCGACGTCTATGATATTATCCGTCACTTGGGAGTGTTTCTGCCTTTATAGATACGCCGACAATATTGTCTAAGAACTTTTCTTTTACTTCTATTGTACCTTACATATTATTCGAATAGTATGTTTACAATTTCTAGTATGAGTATTGGGTATAAAAAAAGGCTGTTAGTATATGCATATACTGGAGATATTATGCGGCAGAAGATATACTTATATTGATTGATGTATTCATAAATATGGTTTCTTTCAGAAGAACAATAAGTGTGTATGAATTTCGAATTAACTTGACCACAATATTACAACCACAGACTTCAGGTAAAAACAACCTTGTATTGAATGAATTGTTTCAAAAACAGGATTGTACAAGATTACGAAGAAATCGTTTTACATTGAGAACGAAGTAGCAACGTTGAACAATCATTGCGAGCTGTCGATCGCGATCGGCTCGGATAGAGATATTTCTAATTTTTCGCTCGACCTGCGCTCCAATACTCGTAGCTCCTAAAAATAGACAAAACGAGTGCAAACAGATTGGAAAAGAAACGAGGGTTAAATTTGTTCGAAGAGTAACCGCAACGTTCGTGCTAATTGAAATCGCTGGTGCTTATAGAAACTAGTTGATCATTAATCAAAGTCGATTTGCTCTGCGTTTCTTTGCATTCATTGTTTAACTTAATACTGCCCTATCTTAATATAAAATTTTTCGTTGTTACATTAAAACAAAATAAGTTATCAGTATTTTGTTCTATTATACTAAACGTACGATTTTTGCTCATATATTGTTCAGAGCACCGGCACGAAGAGATGCGGTTCCATTCCTGTCTTAGTCATTGAGTTTTGTAATAACTTTGAGTGTTTTTCTGTTTTTAATTTTAATAATTATATATACACGCATATTTCAGTAAAGTCGCAATTTACGCAGAGCACTATGCGAGCGTAATAAAATGAACATAATTTCCAAGAATGTCACACGAGATACGCGTCGTATACATTTAAATCTTGAAAGGGAAGGGTGGAAAGAGTTCTAACAAGGCAATAAAGTCGCCCACCTGCTCCGCAGAGATAGCGATCATAATGTTAATTTAATTAAAGGACTAATCTAAATTGCACAAGACCCGACACTCAGGCGGCCATTAAAAGGATATTTCGTCGCCGGCGGGGAAACTCGCCGACTATAAATATCTCCAAAAACAAGTTAGAGGGGTAAAAAGTAGGAAAAAGTCACATTGTTGGAATTAGTGGTACGTGACCTGTGTTTTGGTTCAATTTGTAGCGGAGCCAATAAAATTGCGAGTCGTAGATCGTTCAGTAACGCGTTTGTAAACAAACTTAGCTTCGCAGGGACTCTTGTTACGCTTATCTAGAACTTTATCTCTTCTCTTTTATTTCGGAATTCGGACGCTACGTGGTCTAAATTCGGTATTAGTTTCTCTTAAGATACACGCGTAGATATTTCATACGTATAGTTACAATTATTCATATAATTGCTGACATATAAGAACAGGGAAGGAAGACAAAACAATAATTAATATAATTAAAGTGAAATTGATCAATCTAATCCAGTTCTTAAAATTTCGGCCATAAACCTGTCATGGTGGTTGATTGATAGATTGCAAATTTATTAAAATAGTCACGTGGTTAAAAATATGCAAGAATCTATGTTGCGAAGGAACAATTTATTTTCTATTAAGAGGGGTCCCAGGCTTTCTTATGAGGAAGAAAAAGTTTAGAAGATAACAAGTCTTTGCATCTTTATCACAACGAAACACCGCATGAGCTTCTTAACTTCAGAAGTTACGAAGCCCCGAGAAAACAATTAATCTTCGACGTGCTTGTTTTTGCCAGCCTTTCCTTAATCTACATACTTTTATCATTATACTCTATTAGCTTTTACAATTTTATGCTCAATTTATAAATTAGATATTTTGTTATACACGCACTAACAAGACGTTTGATTAGATTGAATACTTCTAGGATTGCTTTTCTAAGAATTATAAATTAAATTCAAATTTCAATGTTAGGTCAATTGTGAAATACTTTATGGTATGGAAAAACGGTATATTCCAAATTTAAAGTATATATACTATTTTTTATATAAATGTCTATAAAGAGTTTTTATATATCTGACAACATACAATTACACTTTTTCGTACGTGAAAATATTAAACTACTAAATATGGAACAAGCACCAATCTACAAATAATTGTTTTACTATTCACCATCCGTCGATATCCGCCGTTTCATTATCTACTATAGACGGGTAGATTACGGAAACTCCGATCCACCCAAATTATGTTCAATGGA